ATAACAGATAAAAAAATAAAATTAATAGAAATAATTTTAAATAATTTATAATAATATAATTGTTTGTCATAGGACATTTGTAAATGTTCAATTGCATATGCGGATAAGATGGCAGAAAAAGCAGAAATGACAACGGAATTAGAACAACTCTCGCAGAGTAGCGTTTATGAAAAGAAATTTACGATATCGACGGCCTGGTGTTTTGCAATTAATAACATCGATTATATTAGAACGTCGATCGAACCATTGGCCAAAGATTTAGGACTGCAAGAAATCGTAGAGGCTTTAGGGGAACACAAGACTCAAGAAGAGGCTGATCGTTGTAGACAGACTCTTCAGCTTATTATTGATAACGCCACAGATACTGTGAAGAATAAGATCATAGATTTGTTGGAAGTCGTAGCTAACAAAATGGCTCCTGCGATGAGTAGGTACGTCAAATATTAAAAAGTTTATTATCTTCTTTACATTAAATAATAATTTTTGTTAATTTATAACGAAAATTGTAACGCAATTTATTTTTTTAAATTTAATTGCATTCCAAAGTATTCTAAGAAGAAATTTGGTCTTGCGTTTTCAGATATCTCATGGAGGGAGCCGAGTTAATTGATACGACTAGCAACGCAATGGATCGTCTGCTACAGTATTTGGATAGTAATCTGGCAACGTTACATGATAATCTCAACGAGGACAACTTTAATAGAGTTCTCCTGGTGATTTGGGAAATCATGTCTGAGACAATGTATAAGCTAGTCAACACTAATTTAGAGGTACATATTTATCGAACATGCAAGCATATTTTTTTTTTATCATATAGAGAGCTTTCTTTTTTCATAAAATAACATTGTTACAGAAACGACGACCGCCAGCATTTTATTCAAACTTACATCGAACTCTTCACACGCTCATCCGATTTTTTAATCTCGGTGCCGATGAAACAGCGAATGTGCAAGTTTTAGAGAAGATCGACCGTCTTTTAAAATTACATGGACTCGAAACTGCTGAGCTCATACATCAATACCATCAGGAACGTTTAGAGGAACAGAAGGAAATTGAGGAACCTATTTATGGTCTTGTCACTGTCAAAGCACATTTCATCGATAATTTGTTGAATATACAGATTCTGAATGCCAGGAATCTTCATTGTATGGATAGCAATGGTGAGCAAAATTCTACGCATCAATAAAGGAATATGAAAAATGTTTGCGTAATAATGTAAAATTAATGTTTGCAAAAAAAAAACAATATTATCAGATAAGTGAGAAACGGTTGAATAAATACCAAGTGAAGTTTGCAGTTACGAAACAATATAAATGGTCTTATAAGCGGAATATCTGATGACACAAGTAATAGTTACATAATTTAAAACAAATTAACGTTTGGCGTAATAAGTAGTTTGCTATAAAACGGATTTGTATAATTGTTTTCTTATCATGGGAATAAATGTTTATTTCAATTTTAACGTTTGATCGTTAGCGTAAACAATCGCGGACCCTTCTTAAAAGAAGGAATGATATTTTTTTCGATTTTATAGGCGATTTTATAGGCAAGCTGTCTACTCTCGAGCGCAAACTGTACTCAAAATCTAAACAAAGAGTGAAAGAAGGGAAGACAAGTATGTAAAAGCAAATGTGGAATAAGGTTTTCCCTCATCATTGTTACATGTTTCTCTATCAGATTGCCTGCTCTCGCGGAAATATTATAGCATTTTGAAAATGCATGACACGAGCAAATCTATATTCATGTTTTATAAAAATAGAATAATAATTTTTAGTGAATACAATGGTCTTCCTGACGTTAAAAATCGAACACTAGCACGGAATATTGCTCACGTCGATTATCTGTAATCTTATCTATATATATGGGGTTCTTTAAAATTATTATTATCGATGATCAAACAAACAAATTATCTGGCATATAACTGAAATTATTTAACATTATGTAACTAAATTAGAGTTAATGACCTCATCGATAAGAATAGATTACGTCGACAGTGATAATCATCTTCACCGTGCATGAATAGTTTCACACTGGGTTTCTTCAAATTTCTAACGAATGTTTATAATATATGAGATATAAATTTATTATGTTTATTACAGGCAAATGCGATTCCTATATAAAGATCAGATTACTGCCTGATGAGAAATTTGCTGATATTAAGGTACCGAAAACGCATGTACAGAAAGAAACGCTCTTTCCTCTTTTCGACGAAACATTTAACATGTTAGTAAAATAGCTGATTATTAATCAAAATTATTAATTAATTGTATATAATATAGTATTCATAAAATGTTTTTCTAACCTTTTAGTCCTCTTACTCCGGAACATAGAGCCATAGAAAACGCTATAGTGGCGTTTGAGGTAAAAGACAAAGACTTTCTTAGATCGAGATTTATGGCGGAAGCTTTTTTACCATTTAGCGAGATTCCTGACACTGAACCAGAAACTGGCTTTGCAACTTTAGAACAAGTTCATTTGAAACTTTCCCGTCCAACCAAAAAAAGTATATATTATAAACTAAGTTTTTATAGCATTATATTTTCAGAAACAATAATTCATGATTCGTAATAATTAAATCATTAAATTATAGAACTAATCATAATTAATATTATATTCAATAGTTTTTATTTTTATTTTTATTTTTATTTTTATTTTTAATTTAAAAAACTATAAAACATATGTCTATTAAATATGCGCATAAATTAATTATGTGCACTACTCGTGAATTTTATATTAAACGTGAATTCAAATTGATTCAAAGGTACGGACGTCATTCACGCATTGGAGCAACGGAAAGGAGACAATCAGGCGATGGACTTCATTTCAAAACTCAACAGTAAAGCAAACTCTAAATGATCTACGTGGAGCTTTGATATGGATTTACGTTTGGACCATTTTCGAAAGTACTCAATGCAAAATATATTTAAGCAACTCAGTCTATATAAGACGTATCGATGTTAATAATATGCCAGCGTTGCCTTACGAGAAGTCGCTATGAATATTTTGTAATAAATGTGTTTTAGTCATCGTGTTATTATCATAGCGCGATGTTATCTGACAATAGTATGATACTTGCGAATATCTTAAGGCTGTGCATAGATTCGATTATTTCTATAAATTTCAAAAAAATCACTGAATATTGCATTTTGAAACTTTAAACAGAAAACAGTAAGGCTGAGTAAGTGCTAATTGTAAAAAAGCAATACTTGTATTTATTATAAATAAATAGTTATTATATTGAGAAACTAAATATTTAGATATACTTTTGTAACAAAACTTATGCTACGACATAATGCAAATTTGGAAGATTATTTTATATTGTATATGTGTAAGTAATATATTGCTATATGTCAGCAAATAAAATATGTATATAGATTCAGTAATATTAAATGATTTATGTGCGTGTTTTATATCTTCAATGTTCATATTATCACTTTCACAAATATAATTTTATCTTAGACATGAATGCGCATCTATGATAAATCCATACAAAAAAGAAACTTCACATACACAATGTAAATTTAATAAATTTTTTAATACAAATTAGAACACTATAAGCGCGCGCTATGCGCGCGCCATTTATTTTATATGTATGTGTGTATAATTACATACATACACACACACACACACACACACACATATTATAACTCTAGTTCCCCTGTTTTCTCAAAATAAATTAAATAAAAATTACACATACACTTAATATTTGAACTGTCAAATATGTCGCTCAGTTATGACAGTTTTACTGATATAAAGTAATGCACAGCGCAGCATCAAGATAACCAATCAACATCGCAGAAAAGAGGTAACAATACTTGCTAGTAGATTTAACATGCCTTTTTAAAAGTGGATATTTCAATGAGAGCTGCTTACGGCATATTATTAAAATTATATAAAATGTGTATGTGTTATAAAATATTATAAAATGCGCCATTTAGTTTTTATAAATGATAATAGATAAAAATGATAAAAAAATCGCGATGTCTCTTGCAATATTGATTTGAGTATAGAAATGTTAAAAGTTTCTTTTATGTTTCGTGGGGTGTTACCCAGAACTCTAAATAAAAACGGGAAATGCGAAAAACTTTACTTTACCCAATACTTGGATATATCTTTATACGACACATATGAAAAATTATGATTTCCAAAACGCGAAGATATATTCTATTATAATTATTATAATTTCCTATGGTTTTAACCGTGTTCTTTCGAATTCGAAGGAGTTTTAATCATTAACAAAGTTAATTAATTTTTTCACGTTCATATGATCGCCCGATGATGGATATACTGCCAGGTTTCCGCCAAATATCATACGGAAAACGGTGATATTTCTTGCAATATTGGTTGGAACGTAAAAATGTTAAGAGTTTTTTTTATATCTCGTGGGATGTTACCCAGAATTCTAAATAAAAAGTTGGAATTGCGAGAAAATTTATCTTTAAAAGATTTAAAATTTATTTAAAATATATAGAGTAGCCCACCAAAAACGAAACAGACATGTTTTTTGGCATTTAACGTATCGTCAATGAATGCCGTCAAAACACTCCACAAATGCTGCAGAATGTGCGACAACGTTTTGAGCAGAATCTGTATTATTGTGTGCAAGCTGGTGGGGGACATTTCCAACATTTACTACGCTAACACCTAAGTGCTAATTAAATAAATGCTATCTTTAAAGTGCATTTACTTGGGAAATAATGATCGGAATTTAAAAATTAAAATACCATTATAAAGCTAATTTATCAGACTTTCAAATGGTATACCTTTAGATACTCCTTGCCATTTAAAATTTTTAAGGTGAAATTAACCCCTCTTTTGGGGTTGAAGTTAGGTGAACAAAAATAGCCAATTAATATCCCCTTGAAAACAAAGTTGACCTGTCCGAGCGTTTTTCGAACAAATAAGGTTAAATGCCAAAAAATATGTCTGTTTCGTTTTCGGTGGGCCATTCTGTATACTTGTATAATTTAATATTTTGTACATATGTATATATCATAATATGTAAAATATTTCAGCAATGAATTATGAATAACATGGTATTCGGCCTTGCTTCAGTGGCGTAAACATTAGCGCGCTATTGTTTACAATTACATGTTACGGTCTTGTTATCATTCGCGCGGCAACAATTGAATAGGACTGTAATGTGCGAGACGCTACGTCACACATTCCTTTTGTACAATAGGTGAAATTAACCCCTCTTTTGGGGTTGAAGTTAGGTGAACAAAAATAGCCAATTAATATCCCCTTGAAAACAAAGTTGACCTGTCCGAGCGTTTTTCGAACAAATAAGGTTAAATGCCAAAAAATATGTCTGTTTCGTTTTCGGTGGGCCACTCTGTATACTTGTATAATTTAATATTTTGTATATATGTATATATCATAATACGTAAAATATTTCGGCAAGTGAAACGGGGTTCGATCGTGCCGAAATTCGAAAGTGCGGGAGTGTTGTTCAAAGTCTCGCGCGTATAAATGCGGAAGTAATTTTTTAATAAAAGTGCGGGAGTGCCGTTTAAAGTGCCGCGCGTGTGAATCAATCTGAGAAGAAGAGGAGGCCTAGGAGAGGCATTGGGCACCGATGGAACAACCTTGTGGTAAGTAAATTGTTATTTGTATATTAATTATTTATTAATTGCGTTCGTACAATTTAATTTAAACAATTAATCGCATAATTTGTTTTTTTATTTATATGATTTAAACAAGAAAGAATAAAAAAGAAAAAGA